AGGCGGCTATGTATCGAGGAATGGGCCTGGCGGCGGGGCGGAAACCAGCTGCATGCAGCAAATTTCGTAACTCCCCCTTTCCCAATCCCCCCCTTTCGCCTGGCCCGAATGGAGCAGTTCGAGAAGTCCACCCCGGCCCCGATCTCGGGCAGCGTGTCGAGGTCCTGGATCACGACGCACCTGAAGCTCGCCGTCGCTCGGACACGTCCACTCCCTGTGATTTTGTTCGATATCGTACGCGGTTGTTTCGCCAAATGAACCAGGATGCTCCTCAATGGTCCTCGCCGAAGGAAGACTGCACACGTCCGAGCGATGCCAAGCTGAAGAGGCCGCAGAGGCTGCGGTCTGTCTCCCCACGGACAGCCCCCCTCGGGCAGTCCCCGCTGGCCTCTGCAGCTCCACCGAATCATCCGGGGCGGTCTTCCACACCCGAACCCTGGGCTGAGGTCGGGCGTGTCCCCCTACAGGCGGATTTCGGACGAATCATAAACCATACCAAAACAGAACTGCCCCAAAATATTGAAAAACACATCAAAACACCATCCCCAGACTATTTTTAGAACTATTTTGGGATATTCCTCCTGCAGAGGTGAAGGGGCCCTGGGACACACAAATAAATACACACAAATAAACATATTCCCCACGTTTTCTAATTTTTCTAAGTTTCTGTCTTCCCCCCCACCTCCCAGATTTTTACCTAACAGCGAAGACTGATAGGTTTCTAGTTGACTCAAAAGAGCTCACAGATCACTCCACAGGGGGGTCCGGGCAGGCGTTGGGAGTTGCCGGCCGGGCCTGTGCCGGGCTCGTTTTTCACCAACAGTCACACACTTCGTGCTCGTCGACCTCTCAGAACCCCATTCCCAGGCCACATTCTGAATAACCGGATGCAACAGTCACACACTTGGTGCTCCTTGACCTCCCAGAACGCCATTCCCGGGCCACATTTTGGATGCCCGGAGCCAACTGTAGGCCAGTCTTTCCCAGAACTCCATTCCCGGGCCACATTTTGAATGCCCGGAGCCAACTGTAGGCCACTTCGTGGTGTTCGAGTTCCCAGAACTCCATTCCTGGGCATGATTTTGAATGCCCGGAGCCAACTGTAGGCCATTTCGTGTTCTTCGAGTTCCCAGAACTCCATTCCCGGGCCACATTTTGAATGCTGAGGCAGGCTGATGAGGCTGAGGCTGAGGCAGGCTGAGGCTGAGGCCGAGGCTGAAGGCAGACTGAGGCTGAGGCTGAAGCAGGCTGAGGCTGAGGCTGAGGCAGGCTGAGGCTGAGGCTGAGGCAGGCTGATGCTGAGGCTGAGGCAGGCTGAGGCTGAGGCTGAGGCTGATGCAGGCTGAGGCTGAGGCAGGCTGAGGCTGAGGCCGAGGCTGAAGGCAGACTGAGGCTGAGGCTGAAGCAGGCTGAGGCTGAGGCTGAGGCAGGCTGAGGCTGAGGCTGAGGCAGGCTGATGCTGAGGCAGGCTGAGGCTGAGGCTGAGGCTGATGCAGGCTGAGGCTGAGGCAGGCTGAGGCTGAGGCCGAGGCTGAAGGCAGACTGAGGCTGAGGCTGAAGCAGGCTGAGGCTGAGGCTGAGGCAGGCTGAGGCTGAGGCTGAGGCAGGCTGATGCTGAGGCAGGCTGAGGCTGAGGCTGAGGCTGATGCAGGCTGAGGCTGAGGCAGGCTGAGGCTGAGGCCGAGGCTGAAGGCAGACTGAGGCTGAGGCTGAAGCAGGCTGAGGCTGAGGCTGAGGCAGGCTGAGGCTGAGGCTGAGGCAGGCTGATGCTGAGGCAGGCTGAGGCTGAGGCTGAGGCTGATGCAGGCTGAGGCTGAGGCAGGCTGAGGCTGAGGCCGAGGCTGAAGGCAGACTGAGGCTGAGGCTGAAGCAGGCTGAGGCTGAGGCTGAGGCAGGCTGAGGCTGAGGCTGAGGCAGGCTGATGCTGAGGCAGGCTGAGGCTGAAGGCTGATGCAGGCTGAGGCTGAGGCAGGCTGAGGCTGAGGCCGAGGCTGAAGGCAGACTGAGGCTGAGGCTGAAGCAGGCTGAGGCTGAGGCTGAGGCAGGCTGAGGCTGAGGCTGAGGCAGGTTGAGGCTGAGGCAGGCTGAGGCTGAGGCTGAGGCTGAGGCAGGCTGAGGCTGAGGCAGGCTGAGGCTGAGGCCGAGGCTGCAGGCAACTCAGGCTGAGGCTGAAGCAGGCTGAGGCTGAGGCTGAGGCAGGCTGAGGCTGAGGCTGAGGCTGAGGCAGGCTGATGCTGAGGCAGGCTGTGGCTGAGGCTGAGGCTGATGCAGGCTGAGGGTGAGGCAGGCTGAGGCTGAGGCCGAGGCCGACGGCAGACTGAGGCTGAGGCTGAAGCAGGCTGAGGCTGAGGCAGAGGCAGGCTGAGGCTGAGGCTGAGGCAGGCTGATGCTGAGGCAGGCTGAGGCTGAGGCTGAGGCTGATGCAGGGCTGAGGCTGAGGCAGGCTGAGGCCGAGGCTGAAGGCAGACTGATGTTGAGGCTGAAGCAGGCTGAGGGCGAGGCTGAGGCAGGCTGAGGCTGATGCAGGCTGAGGGTGAGGCTGAGGCAGGCTGAGGCCGAGGCTGAAGGCAGACTGATGTTGAGGCTGAAGCAGGCTGAGGGCGAGGCTGAGGCAGGCTGAGGCTGAGGCAGGCTGAGGCTGAGGCTGAGGCAGGCTGAGGCTGAGGCTGTGACTGCGACTGCTGTTGCCACTGCGACTGCCATCGCGAATGCGACCACGACTGCGAGAACAGCAGAATTCTACAACAGGATTCTTATCTGAATCTTAAGGGGAATGCTTCCAGATATGCTCCTACACATCGCTGTTAGGTTGCTTTGCCGGGATAATCCTATATTTTCCGCGGAATCGACGATTTGTTGTGTCTGTGTGTTTCTTTCCCTCCCGAAGAGGGACAGGCCCGACGTAACCCTGGGACCCGGAGCATCGCAAAGCGTCGCCGGAGGGTGCGCCGGGGTGTTGAGGCCGCCCCAGGATACACGGGGGGCCTGCTGAGGCCAGCCGGGAACGCTCGGGGGGGCTGCCGGTGCCCAAGCCGAGGCCCTGCCACCTGAAGCGCTCTCCGCCCGACTCGGCCAAGGCGAGCCCGACGTTGAACAGCCAGCCGCGGTTGAACAGGTCCTGGGGGAACCACAAGATGCCGACACCGCCACTCCCCAGGCCTCCCCCAGAATGCGTGCTGACCAGGATCTCGAGGCGAATCCAGCCGTGGCGGCGATGGCCTCCCAGGATGCCTCAAAAGACACAAGCGAGGCAAGAGTCGCAGTATCGGTGCCTCCCAGACATGCGATGTCCTGACTATTTCGGTATGGGGTCCCCCGAAGTCTCGACCCCTTCCCTGGGGCCAGTGTTCCGTCCCAGGTTTGTCTTTTGACGGCCCCTGGACTCAGCGCAGGCCCCCCGAGGCCGCCATCAGCGGAAGCCTCCCATCGTACACGTCGTTCATTTCTAATCGTGGTCATTTCTAATTCTGCTCGTTTCTAATTGTTCCTAGCCTCCCAGTGGCCAGGAACAGGCCCAGGATAGAACAATTAGAAATGAAAGGATCTTGGCCCCTAAGAATGTCAAAGAACTTTCGAATACTTAGACATGAACCACGTGCACTGTTCCTTCTCCGAGGGTCCGCGTCGTACTGCTCCACAACAAAAAACGACCAGCACAGCGCGGAGGCCTCCGGGGAGGCCAGGAAGGCCGCGATGTGCCGGCCGAAGGCCTCCATGTGCGACCTGCGCCCACGTTTTTTTGTTTGCAGAAGCGCAGGATCGAGGCGCAGCTGCGGACAGGGTGCAGGGACGGGTGCGGGCGAAGGGACGGCGCGGCAGGGGCGGACGCGGGGACGGGGGAGGCGGGGGGGAAAAAGGGGGGAGGAGACACGCGGAAGAGGGGGAGGGGGAAGGCGGAAGGGGGGGGGAGGGGGGAACCTGCGCCCACGGAAGGGCACCACGGCCGCGACGCAGGAGGGGGGCAAGTCCACACGATCCTGGGGTTCCCCCCAGCTCTCCGACGAGGGTCAGGGTCGAGGTTCGGGGGGTCATGGCCGGCGGCGAGTGCGCGGCCGCGGGGGGGATGCCAGAGAAGCATGGAAATAAGGAGACGCGCCATGAGATCTGAGGAGATACCATGGCCCCCGCCATGATAGATCCCCCTCTCTGGTCAACACCCCCCTCTTGGCTTAGGTCGGGCCTGTTCCGTTTACAAGGGAATCTCCCCAAAATAATCAACAACAACAACAAAAAAAAAGAGAAAATCGTCCCCAGACTTCCTTTCACTATTTGGAATATTCCTCCTGTAGAGGGACAGGCCCGCCCCCGGGACTTCGTGCTGGTAAAGCCTATACCGTAACCTGTCTCGGAGCTCCGCGCCGGCTTCCTGGACCGGGTATTGGACCCCCCCCCAAATCCTCGCCTACCGCTCCGCCCATGGCGTGGGGCCCAGCGCCGACCCGCGAACAGGGGGCCACATGCGAACCCTGCCCCGACCCCCCACGATTTCTGAGGAGGGGGGCGGGGTTCACTTCGCTCGGGAGCTCCCGAGCGAGGTGAACCCCACCCTCCCCCTCGGAAATCGTGGGGAGGGGTAGGGTTCGCATGTGGCCCCCTGTTCCTGGACCGGGCAATTGGAGATCTGGGGGCAGCCCTTGCTTCCCTGAAATCCTGGCGTCTCCTTTTTGTTCGAGCCGGGCGTGTTCGCCTGGGGGCAGATTGACCCAACTCGGAAAATGGAGCGGCAAAGTGGGGTCCAGGGCTCTGGTCGTGATTCTCCGCGACGGTGTCTCTCTTTCGAGACGTCGGATCCCTGGGGAAACCACAAGGTACGGATACCGCTACTCCCCGGACCTCTCTCAGGGTGCGGCCTGACCAGAATTTCTAGGCGAATCCAGCGGTGGCGACGAGGGGGCCTCCCAGGGAGCCCAAAAAGGGAGAAAGCGAGGCAAAAAGGGCAGCGGCCATGGGTCTACCTCCTCCTCCCCCGAATCTCAAGCTCGTGCGGAGTTCCCCCCCTCGAGATGCACTGCCGCGGGGAGCCCTCCGCGTCGCGGCGCACGGGCAGCGACGCGGGGTCCGCGGCGTCCGCGGGCGCGCCGCCGCCGGGGGAGCTCTCCACGCGCCGGCGGTGCGCCGGATCCCGCGCGCGCCGCCGCCGGTCCTGCGGCGGCCGCAGTAGCGCGGAGTCCCAGCCGGACTCGGTGGAGTTCCAGCCCACCTCGTGGGCAGCCCCCGAGAAGCCTGAGAGGTCCAGGCACAGCCCCCCTCGCGCTGTGAGCAGAGGCAGGACGGGAGGTGTGTTTCAAGATGTTCGGCCTTCGGGGGCGCTCGCAGGGCCTCGGGACCATCAAGAGACGACTCGGGATGAAAAACTGGTCCCGGGGAATGGGTCGAGACCTCTGCGAGGCGACGCTATGAACAAATCATGACGTCGGGGGTCTTGGAAGAACCCTGAGATCCTGGCGTCTGAATTTTGTCGAGGCGGACATCTTCGGCTTTTTTGATTCGGCCCCGGGACCCTCACAGGTCGATCTGGCTAGAAAGATGATGCAGAGAGATGGGGTCTAGGGCTCGGGGCGTGATTTTGCACGATGATGCAAGTTTTTCGCTACGTCGGATCTCAGCAGGGCACAAGCTGCGCCGCTTCGTTCGGGGCCAGCACCCCATGTGTGGCAAGGACTCGAAGATAGTCGCGCACTGGCCTCTCCAGGGTGAGCTACTTGAGGCTAGTCCCTCTCAGCCGTAGCTGCGGTGTGTGGTTTCGCTGGCCCCTGTCTCATGCCAGAACTGGGTCCCCGACAGGACAAACCCAGCCCACCTCGTGGGCACCCCCAAAGAAGCTCTCCTGGTCCCTTCCCCTCGTCTTCGCCCGCCTTCGCCGTGATGGGCCTGCTGGGAGGCCTTCGTCGCCACGGCCGGATCCGCCGCGGGCAATCCTGGTCGGAACGCACCCCCGAGTTCCAGGGAGCAGCGGCATCGGCATCCCCACTGGGATCGGCGCGGGGGTTGCCGAGGGGATCGGCGCGGAGAGGCCCACCGGACTCGGTGGAGTTCCAGCCCACCTCTCATTTTGGCGGCGCGCACGACGGGGCAGGGGGGAAGGCTCCTTAGAAGGAGGCCGCTTCTCAGAAGGCGCCGGCCTCCATCCACAGAGAAGGCCCGCGCCTGCTAAGGAGCAGGGGTGCTTCTGAGAAGGCTCCACCCCCTCTCCCTACCCAGTCTGCGCGTGGCCGATCATGAGCATCGAGCTTCGGTGTGTCTCGGCGGTGGACAAGCCTCCCTTTAGCAAATCTCCCTTTCGTGAAATCGGCCTGGGACCGAAATCAACGGACCTGGACCCGCAAAAATGACGGCCGCGACGCCCTCTCGCGAACCGAAAACGGCCAATGCGCTAATCGACGCGTCAGGGTAGGAGGTCTATCGACCTCCGACTGTCTGGTTACACAGCGTCGACGGCAACACCACACCGCTCACCCTCCGGGAATTCGCCTCCGACTCCTGTCCAAGGCGTTGCTTTTCCTGTGCAAGCTCCTCGGCACCGCCTGCACCCCGGCCCGCCCTCCGGCCGCCTGAGGCCCCGCCCGCCTGGCTCTTAACCGGAAGAGGCTCGCTCTCGACCCGCAGACCAAAGACTGTCTAGTCACACAGGCTCGGGCGCCGAGGTCCGAGACCAGGCTTGGGGTATCGCGGGCTCTCTGGGCGCTCCCCGGCCTCCCGCCGCCACGGCTGGACTCCCCTCGGAGTCCTGGCCGGCACACGCTTCGGGGTGGCTCAGGGCAAGAGGGAAGCCCCGATCTGCGACGATCTGGCTTTGGTGGCGCGCACAAGGGGGTGGGGGAGGGGGGAGGGCTTCTTGGAAGGAGGCTGCTTCTCAGACGGTGCCGGCCTTACCTCTATAGATGAGGCCCGCGCCCTCTGAGAAGCAGGGGTGCTTCTAAGAAGCCCTCCCCCTCCCCCCACCCCCCTCTGCGCGTGGCCGAGAAAGCTCTGGGGCCAGAACGGCGTGCAGGTCAAGGGAGTCCCGACTTGCGCGACGTCTGGACTTCCTTGCGGGCCTCGCCACGCCCGCCCCCCTATCCTCAGGTCGGGCGTGTCCACCTACAGAGGGACTTTCGACGAAAATGAAAAATACCCCAAAAATATTCCAAAAGGATCAAAACATATTCAAAAAGTAGTCCCCAGACTATTTTTGGATTATTTCTGGATTATTTTGGGGTATGTTTCATTTTTCGCCGAAAATCCACCTGTAGGGGGACAGGCCCAATTTAACCCTACCCCCTCCGTGCTAGGAGACTCGCCGTGCAGCCGGACTTGCTCAGACGGGGCGCCCGCGAGGACACCAGACCCGTCCGACGGCAGCGTGGGATCCCAGGACACCAAAAAGGACACGCGGGCTGCGTCGCTCGGGATCGACAGAACACCAGCGTACAGGGCAGTGATGAATACATCGGATGTAAAGATATGGGATTTTAATACATGATTAATTGAGGAATAAATGTATGCATGAACTCATCGTTG